CTCATCCCATAATCCAATGGCATTGATACGGCTGTCTAGATACTTGAATTTCTTGAGGACTTCTAGCCGACCATCACGAATGGGCAGCGTAAGGATAGGTCCCTGCCAATCTGGAAGAATTCTGAATTTCGAGGGTTCAAACCGCAGTCTGAGATGAATGACAGCGAATACAAATTTGTTCAATGCTGTTTAGCACGTTCGGGAGTTGTGACAGATAAGAGTGATGTCATCGGCATACTCCAAGTCAAGAAGTCGATCATCTTGGAGCAGCTGCACAGCTGGCAAGTAGGGTCCAGTGAATGCGGTTTCCATGACTTTGTTGACGGAGAAATTAAGAAGGAAAGGTGACAGCGTGCATCATTGTCTCGCACGGATAGAGATGTTAGATTGCGGTGACAGTTTGCCATAAACCTTCACTCTTCCTGAACCGCGCTCTGATAATGTTTACGCGTCTTTAGGCACATTTTTCCTGAGTAGACAATCCAAAAGGGCAGATGGTTCAAGTGCATGGAAGGCGTGTTTGATATTGAGGAACACGACTACGGTGGCTCGTCAATAAATATGGCGGTGCTCCAATCATCGACGTAACCCGAAGCCGCGACTTCGACGAAAGTCGGCTTGCGTCTCACCAATCTGGATTTCACGAGCCAACAAGTTTATGGAGAATGACAATGGAACAATGGTATATTACGGGCAAAAAAGCAGATGCTTAGAAAGTCCCGTAAGATGGCCAAAAAGAGAACCACAACATGGTGAATGGAAAACAAAGGGTTAAAGTGTTAACACAGAGGCACACAAAAAGAGCCAACCACAGTTGTTTAGGTTAATTCTGGTTGTGCGGCATTCGCCGCATTAGATCGTCTGTCGAGACACACAGGCTATATCTCGTAGTGTAAATGGGTTAGGGGAAGTTCAAGGCGTTTTTTAAACACAGATAAACTGGGCGCGGGAACAACGTAATTTGGGAAAGCGTTCCAAGGTTGACACACACGAAGAGAATAAAAGTTCCGTCGACATTCTAGTCGACTGTATTGCGTGGCTAACTTGAACTGGTGGTCTCTCAAATTCATGTTGTAGCTCAGTTGCATAAGGTAACGGCAGACGTTGTTGGGGTTTCTTAGAATCTGGTAGGCCATAATAAGGTCGCCACGTACGTGCCGGTACCGGCCACTATATAATTTTAGAGTCCTCAGTCTAAGTTGATAAGGAACGTTGAGCAATCCTTTGACGTGCCTCGTCGCTGTGGAGTCTCGAGCGCTGCAAGGTCGTGTTGGTGCCAAGGCTGCCACACTTGGATCGCGTATTCAACATGAGGCCGCACGCAGGTGTTTAGCAACTGAGAACAAATAGATCCCTCGATGATTGTCGCTTCCAAATGTGAGCATCCCTTAGAAATTGGGACCATAACGGAGCGACTGCAGTCTGTTGGGACAGTTTCCTGCTACAAGAGCAGATTCCCGGAATTTAAAGAGAACTGGAGAAAATCGATATAGTCCTGCGGCCCTATTCAATTTCGACAACATGCGCGTGAAGGCGCATCCAAGAGGACGGCCTAGAAAGAAGGGCGATCAATGGCTGATAGAGAAGCTGGCAACTATAGTTAATTAAGCTGCTCTTCAAAGTGTTCGGTCAAACGCTAAGAGCATTTCGACAAGTTGTGCATCGGCTGTGCGCTCTCGTCTCCTTCTGCCCGTTCCGTGTATAAGGCAGAATAATTTCCGATGGTTACCAAGGGCAGCGGGCATTTCCATCACCGAAGCAGGGTGAAACCACCAGGCTTCGCGGATTCTTTACAGGTTAGCATGCGGTTTTGCCCTGAGGCTTTTGTTAATCTCGTTATGTTCGCCCCAAACCGGATTGAGCCCGCGAGCATCCAAAGACTGTGTAGAGACACGATGTTTAGGTCGGCCGTTTGATTTGCCACATGAAAACATGGTTGTTGAAAAAAATTTGGCCCTCGCAATTCACCAATGTTCATAAACGATTCTCAGACCCTCAGTAAGTCGATATGCGTGGCGATACGAAGAAACTTGAAAGTGAAACCCACATACAAGCATTTTACATGTTGAGAAAAGCTCTCCAATAATGAGGCGTAGCAGTTTGAGTGGGCAGGCCGTTTGCATAGCGTATTGATGGGGATTCCAATCCGCAATGGGTTCTTCAACTTGATTCGCCACTGGCAGTCCGCGATCCAAGTCACAGATTGCTTCTAATTTAACGATTGCGGACCCAACTAGTGGCCATACCATGTTCGGTAATTGGCCGAAGCAGGAAGAGTAAGCGTTGTGCCACACGCACGAGGATATGGTGAGCACCAGTGACTGAATGATCGGTAGATAGTGTTAGAATGACTTAAGTGGCAGTGCTATGTTCAAAAGAAATATCTCCATCTGATAAGATCAAACAAGATCGAAACGCGTAATGGTGTGCAGTTTTCGGACAGGCAACACCAAATATCCATCTGATGGAGCAGACTGTCGTCAGGTAGGGTCAGGTATAGTTGATGTAAGTCTAGGAAGGAGCCAATGCATCACTCGGTAAGTGTCTGGTGACGCAATGCAGCTGCCTGTGTTGAAAGGCGGTGCAGTGTATATAACGACTGTGATCGACACATACACGGAGAAACCGATGGCTATCAAGAGTACGATGGGCGTTGAACACACACTAGTCGCCTGGAGGTTGGTCGCTTTCGAGTAATCGTTCATGCGGGTAATCAAATAACAAGCAGATAGCACAATGCCCTATTGTGGGATGAGAGTGTGACCTTAGTAGCCTTCTAACCAATCGGCGGAAGGCACCGAAATAAAAAACTTATCCGGTCATCAGGCTCCGTCTACCAGTTCTAATGAGAAGTCGACCAGCAAACAGGTGACTGCTCTCTGGAATCCACTAGAGTTTAGTGCATTCGGTTTTTCTAACTAATGTAGATTCATCACTTCAAATGTTTCGTATCATTGACTGAGCACTGAAATTAGAAAGCGAGAAGATATAAAACTGTGTTGTTCTGTCGTAATTAGATCGGGCACCTACACGGAATCACATCGCTGATCCTGCGCAGTGGCAGTATATTACACCTGCACTACATCTTATTGGGGTGCGATACGCTCCCTATACCTGTAATCCGCAAAGTGATGGGTCGAGGATTCTCTTAAATTCCGACGGCGATTTCGCGTCGACTATGGTCTCAGGTAACTTGTTCCAATATTTTACTACTCGTCGCTCGAAGATGAGCGATACACTTCAAATCCGGTACCAACAATTTGTACCGGTGTCCGTGTGTGTGGCTTGGTGCGCGAAGGTGCAGCACCGGCCTCAGCGAGGGGAAGTGGCCTAGGGGTAATTTCCGGTGCGTCATTATGAGATCAACTCGAAGCCGACGATATGACAAGGTATCCAGCCCTAGTCTCCTACATCGGTCCTCGTACGACATACCCAGCAAACTTGGGATGAGCCATAGTCATCGTCATGGTATAGACCATAAGTGTGCTACGACATTGCAATTCGGTATGTGCATTGCCGAGACCCGTCCCACGTCAATTCTAAGGGTAGGAAAAGACAATGCTGCTCGCCGAACAATCTAACGCACGGTACGGTCGTCAAAAGGCTCAGTGTGAAGTTGTCCGTTGACCTGAAAGTAGGAGACTGGTAAGGCACGAGAGAAACGAACACTAATGGAGAGTACTGTGGGCGGATAAAATTTTCGGCTTATCACTCCTAGAAAAGTTTTATTCGAGTGTTCACACTGCTAGACAGTGGATTAAGTGGATGTTTACCTGGAGAGAACCACATGGTGGTCTTCACCCAATTATCCGACTAGTAAATCAATACGGAGCATGTTTAATCCAATGGCGTGATTGCAGAATCCTGTGTGAGGTAATTTGCATACAGATCCGAAAGATTCCTAAAGTCACCGTGTTTTCGGCAGTGATAGGTGATACTCTTGTGAGCAAATTTTAGTGAGTTAATGTTTTGTTGACAGGCGGTTACACAAATTGAAATGGGCGACGGTAAGACGACGAGCATTATCTGTGCTGCCTCGTGATCCCAGTCAAACCGTGATGCTTACTTTATACACCAATCGAAGTGAGTTCACAACCCGTATAATGCTTATCCCAAGCTTGGGTTTTGAGGACAGAGCGCAATCGGCCTTCGCTTACTACTGCGAGGAAAATTCAACGACCCAACACCATGGAGCAATAGTCGCTTGTAGGAAGCGCAAAACATGTGGGTTGTTCAGTTAAAAAGCACACAATGAGGAGCAGAGGGTTCGCGGGAAATGGACTGGCAAAGATACGCATCAGAAGTACCGGCACCACACTGCCGCACAACAACCAATAGTGGTGCGTGGGCCAAAGATGCTGCGAGGGTCACTCGGTCCCCTACGTAGGATCAAACCTGCAATCTCAGATTACAAGGCAGGTTTATGAGATCATTAAGGCCACAAACCGGCAAGTAGCCAGGCCATGCAGCTAAAGTTCGGATTAGAAACGCACAGTAATTCTCCTTAAAAGTAGTTCATTAGCAGTATTCCGCACTTTATCCGATACGTAGATAGTTGTGGAGCGAGCTCAGTCGGCAAACTAAACAAAAAGGAACAAAGGACGCAGGTGCAGGTATTGGCTAAAAAAAGAGCCGTTTAGATTGTTACAGAGGTGTGAAAGTTATTTATCTAACCAATGGATGGTGGCCCATGCCGAGTGGGGCAACGGCATTCTCCAAATGATTCGTCCAACATTTCATAGACACATCCCTCGAATACTGCCACCCGCACATGCGAAGACAGCGTATCAAAGTGACTTGGTTCAGCTCACATTCTCCACTCTTCGGACCTGATCAGTTGCCTAAATCCGCTAAGATAACCGCAAGCCAAGTTTAGCAACTCATTCCCATTCCGGTACAAAGCAAGACAATAGCGTAATATTATAAATATAACGGCGATATTGCAACGCATATGGTAGTTGGAGGTCAACACTATACAATCAATTTTTAGACGAAGAGTCCTAGCTGTACATAGCTCGTGAGGTGCCCATACCCCCAGAGCTGGATATGCCCACGCGACATCTTGCTCGGAGAACTTCGCTGCCCAAATGGTTCGGCATCATGGGGGGTGGCAGTAAGGGGGTAATCGGTTGGTAATTTGATGACCCAGTGGTCTTTATCGATTCTTCAGAGATGTCTGCACTGGTGGAAGATCGCCTGGTCTCAAGATTGTTGGATGAGGAACCTGTTCGTTTCATTCGTTTTCGGCCGTACTGGTCCTTGAGGTCTGGAGAAGCACTTTTCGAAAACGGTGTCGAATCCTCGCAACGAGAGGGGCTGCATGAATACAAAAACGACAGTAATGATAAGAGTCATTAATGGCAACATCGACATCTGTGGAAAGAAAAACAGCGAAACATCAGTATTTTGCACTGCCGCCCCGTTGTCATGCAACCATAATGGCCAAAATACTGAGGGAGAATAAACTTATGAGAAACGCACCATAGACACATTAAATAGGTAGTACACATGGTGAAGGTTGCGGGCCATGTTGAGTGTGAAGGAACGAGTGTCTCATTAACCAAGAAATCAAAGAAGAGAGACCAACAGAACCCAAAATTTATTTTTCGCCACCAAATAAACGAGTTCCAAACGCAAGCTCCATGCGATTCTGGATCAGGCAGACAAGACCATCCTTAGTAAGCGGTAGATAGGTATACGTAGTAAGTGCCAAACATAGACGCAACTTGTTCAGCCGGATTTGCTGACCTAATGAACTGGTCTCTCTCATGCCTGGTCCAAATTTGCGCACCCCAACGAAGTTGACAGACTAGTGACTCTGGATACAGGAAGTGCTCCGTAAGCAACGAAGATCAAAGAGAGCAGGACAAGTCAAGAAAAGCTTAATACACCCGTGTGGGAACACTGCGGAGAGGCTACAACCTAAAATCAGGGGGAATAATGTGAAGTGATACGAACAAAAATAGTTCATTCTCAAGCAAGCAAACATTCTCGCGATTGTTGCATCATCACTTTTTGTCGACTAACAAGCGAGACATGTAAGGCAAGATGGAGTTGTGACACGAAGAGATACAAGGAAAAACTTTAGATTACGACCGCGTGGAAGAAATGGATACTGTACTTGCTAAAACAGTGTGTGTGGGATGGGAGGTGTCGTTTAAAACCTTGGATGCGAAGTTAAACGTGCGTCAAAATGCTTTCTAACTATGAAAGCAGAGAGGGGTTCTTTGCTCAGTCCAGAGTATCAGGAACCAAATTTCAGTGATCGCACAAGAAGTCCGTGGAAAATAACGGGAACAGCACAGTTAACGAGGAAAAAAACGTACTTACAAACTTTAGAATTAGAGTGCGCGGTAGGGAGAGCAATTCGAGCATGAGGAAGTAAAAGGATTATCTTCGGACTTATTGAAAGTTGCAAATGCGTCGACCAGAGATATTGTAGAACAAAAAACATCGAGATGTTTTACGAAATAAGATGCCTTGGTCACTCACGACCAAAAGAGGAAAGGTGTTTAAAAACGAACGCACTCTATCATGGCGGAGAAGAGGGAATGTGATAGCATAACACTTAGAAGGGTTAAGGAAGAGGGAGCGGTAGTTTAACCAAGTCAAGAGTTCGTCCAATCCTCGTTGGAGTTTCGAAGATTCCTCAATTATTGAGGTTGTACACTCTAGGACAACGTCGTCAGCGTAGTTACACTCACTGAAACATAGACAGACATACAAAATAAAAGAAAACAAAAAGCGGGATGGGCCAGCTCCTTGTAGGACCTCACAATTGGTGTGCTGAAGCACATGAGGTCGCGAGTGACTCAGCCAACCGGCTTGGTAAGCCATCAGCGTGGCCACACAAGTCCAACATCTAAGAAGCAAGGACTAGGTAATCATCATCACCGCAGTACTTGATAAGGACGCTGCATTCGATCCAATTTAATAAGCCAGACCAATAATGCGGTCGATGTGGTACGCGTGCAATATCACCGCTGCAGTTGGCCTGTATGTGTGCCAGCGTGTTGGGATTCTTGCATTTTAGATTTTGGATGCTGATTGATATCCCCAGTGTAGCTGCGCTTGATGTGAATGTTGATAATGTGCCTACTTGTCGAAAAACAGTGGCATCGATTACACTGGCTCCAGAAGACGGTTGGTAGTTTCTTGGGGAGATGGAATGCGCGCTCCTTGTGACCATGCTAGGCTCCAAGAGTGGTTACATGCATTCAATGCGGAACGGAATAAGGCCCAGCCAACGACTTGTGTACGTCGGGTACGCATGACTTCCAATCAGACAAGAATGTTGCTATTGTGCATGCTGAAGGATTGGGGGCCGGCTCCGTTGAAGAAACGCGGCTCCCATCCACATGCCTCCGGGTCTTATTCCTTCGGATTTACACTGGATAGCAGGTGTGTGGATGGAGCTGCGGGTGGTGTAGCGCAAGCCACCCATGGTCCCTCCTGTATGCGCAGGCGTCCTGTAGGGGTCGCAGTAACAAGAACATTTGGAACCGGATGCCGCCATACATGATATATATATATATATATATATATATATATATAAGGCCCCTCGAACAAAACCTCACTCTCGGAATGAGCAGCCGGCTAGTATCATCAGTCCTTTCGATCAGGTTGACAATACTGGCTCATCTTGTTTTTTCTGTCCTCTCAATTCTCTTCTTCACCGTCTAATCAGCAAAAGACTGCCGCTGACCTCGAAACTGCTGTCATCGATACACACAGCTCTTCCAACAAACCTGGAGTTTCATTTCCCATTGGCTCATTTAAGGTCCGCACTCTAGGTCAGATCGGCCAGCAAGCAGCACTGACTCTCACCATTCACTCGCTTGGTATTGATTTGTGCAGTCTCCGAAACACGCATACAAGATAACAGTGTCGTGACAAATCTTCGACTCCTTTGTTCGGATTCTGACGACGATGGCTACTCTTCGCGTCTCTGGTGATACTGAGTCAAAGGCCCAAAGCATTTACGGCGTTGGTATTGCCATCAACAAACATGCAGAAGTCCATCTGCTCGATTTGATACCGGTGGACAGCCGCACGTGTGTAGTTCGACTTCGAACCTACTGGAATTAATAAGCAGCATGTGAAGACAAGGTGGCTTGTTACCGCCTCAGGTTATGCTCCTAATGAAGGGAGTTAAGAAGGTATCAAATATGATTTCTATCGACAGCTTTCATCTTTTCTTCGCATGGAGGAGAATATCGACCTCGTGATTGCTGTTGGTGACATGAATGCCCAAGTGGGTCGTTCCTCAAACTCTGAATACCACCTGGGCGGCCGCTTCGGAGACGATGCACGCCAAACAGACAATCGTGATCCAGTCCTGCAACTGAAAGCCGATCACAGCCTTAGCAGCACTGCATTCCAGCACAGCCATTCACGCCGCGGCACCTGGCACCTACCGAATTCTTCAATGACCTGGACCCAAATTGACCATATTGCCATCAGCTACAGATGGCGCAGGTCAATCCAAGGCTGTCGGTTAACTTGGAGCATGTGCCTGGATTCCGATCATGCTCTGGTGCGCGCACGCTTGGCGCTCACGCTTTCCGCTTCAAAGAAGCGCCTATCATCTAACATCGCCTGTAACTGAAACGCGCAGTCTGTGGTTCAACAATATCATGATGAACTGGCCCGGCAAATGTCAGCGATGAATGAGGTTGGTAAACCGAACGCTAAGTGGGATCGTCTCAAATGTGCCATGAAGAATGCCTTTGACGCATGCTGTGCGCTTAACCTGAGACGTAGCTGTGAATGTATATCTGAGGCATCGAGCAACTTGATCGAAGTGCTGAAACAAGTTCCAACGGGCACTGAGTTTCAGTGTGTCCGAAACTCTATGAAACGAGGCCTGACAAAGAGTCTTCAAATCGAAGGAGAACGTTGGTGGATGGCAAGGGCCTGCGAGATGGAGAAAGCCAGTGATATACCAGCTCATCCGGAACACAGGTTCGAGAAAGCTAGCAGTTAGCAAGACAATAGCTGAGAAAGATAGACAGTTGATCTAGTCTCAGCGTCGTCGACTAGCCAGCTGGACGGAATATTTTGAAGAGCAGTTCGGCAAACCTGCTGCGGTACTGCCAGTTGCCGAATCACCTGAACCAGGCTTGGGAAGCAGATGTCATACCTACTTTGGAAGTGATTCCACATGAGCCTTCCGGAACGGAACAAGGCTTCTGGACCCGACGACCTTACTCCATCTTTGCTGAAAGGTGGAGGTGGCTTTTTATTGACTGGAGTTGCTTCGCTATTTAACACAATTTGGAACACTGACTGGCGACTGTCAACTGCCGTGCCCATCTTCAAGAAGAATCAGCGCACTTTGTGTATCATCAAGACATTAGCCGTATTTCCATTGTTTCAAAGCTTCTCACGGGTACCATTCTCCGACGATTTACTGGTCCCCATGAGAACCGAATCACTGAAAGCCAGGCTGGCTTCCGCCCTAGTCGTGGTTTTAGCGACGACATATTTATTCTTCGCCAAGTGTTAGAGCAGACATACAGAGGACCGACTATGGTGGTTTTCCTTGACTTGAAAGCGGCCCTCGACGCTGTTGATTGAGACAGCTTGTGGCACTGCCCATCCATGAAGGGCATGCCAGCTAAACTCCATTCTATTCTGAAGTCCCTCTAACATGATTCCCGAGACCATGTAATGGTCTACGAGAAACTGTCTTTTGAGCTGCACACTACAAGTAAGATTCGCCAGGGTTGTCCTATATCTCCTTTCCTTTGTAACCTTGTAATCGAAATGATTATGAATGACTCGATTCTTTCAGACTATTTTGGAGTGGAAATTTTGCCAGGTGACCGGTTGACAAATCTGGAGTATGCGGATGACATGGTTCTAGGGTCTGATGCTTTGGCTATGCAAACACAACTGTACAGACTTGTGCGTAGCGCTGCAGGCTTCAGCATGTAGTATGCACCAAAGTGTAAAGTGCTGCTGCAGGATTAGGCCGACACACCTCGTTTTAGCTATTTCCGAACAGCCACTTGAAGTGATGGATCGGTTCACCTACCTTAGTAGCTGTGTCACCTCTGGTGGTCACATCACTGAAGAGATTACTTCGCGTATTAGCGAGGCATGCGCGGCTTTCCAGAGGCCCAAGCATCCATGGAGACGGCGGGATACCAGCTCGTCAGTGAAAGGTAGGGTGCATAACGCTACGATAAGGTCAGTATTTGAGCACCGGTGCTTGCGGAGTATTGCTTATATCCGGTGGGAACACCGTGTGAGTAATGCTGAGGTCCGCCAGTTGGTTTTTGGCAAGAAGCCTTCTGGTGCCTCACTCAAGTGTTTTGCGAATCTTAATCGCTTACGTTGGCTAGGCCATATCCTCTGTATGCACGTTGAGCGGCTTCCTCAGTGTGCATTATACGCCGTGGATGCATCAAGTTAAGTGAAACTACAAGGTGGCCAGTCCATGATGTGGTATAGAGGCATGAAGAAAATGACTGAGGAAACTTGGTCAGGCTGGTGCGTGGATGGGTGTCTCGAGATGGTCTACCCCAATGGTTGGAGACCGTATCAGACATGGCGCAGTCGCAGTCAGTGGCCTTCTTGCATTCGATTTCTTGCATTTGGTTGTTAATTTATGCTCCATTCTGATTGGTTTAACCCACGCCCTTCTTGCTACCATTTGCTTTACATCCTATTCGCCTTCAATCCCACAATCTTACCGTGGTTATTTATTGTCATTCTTGCGATGTGAGTCGTAGCAACTGGATCCACGGCAGTTTGGTGGTCGGATCATAGCTGTTCAACTGAACTGCACTGAACCTCGTCGGCGACAAGTGTAACGGCTATGGTCTTGGAAACATGGTCTTTAAGACCGAAACGAATCGCCTAGTAGTGCCAGAAGCGATGTATACTCCGTGAGCTCTGGCTTTTCGGTATTTGAACTAACTTTCGCAGCCCCGCGCAGGCCGCCAAGAATGTAGTTTCCAACATAAGAGGATTAATGGACCCACTCAGACTCATCGTTGATAGGAAACGAAAAACAAACAGCAACACTTAAGAATTTGAAGATGAAAGACGCGAAGAGAGATGCGCTGTTTCTAGAGCGGGTGTCCAGGGAAGAGTGCGCGGTCATCAGAACAACTGGTAGTTAATCGGATTGGGAGTCAAACAGAACTCACCATGAGGGAATCTATGATTAAACTGAATGGGATCGGAAAAACGATAGAACACTGGTGAACGCCATTTGCTTTCGAAAGAGCGTTTTACAAGCAGCCATAAACAAGGAAGTGACCTAAGATATTCGGGTCAAGGCTCAGCGCCAGGCTCCGATGGCTGGGTCACGTGTTGCGCATGCCAATCCACCGACTACCGCGAGATGCGTTGTTTGCGCGCCGGGGGTGTGGATGGAAGAAGAGGAGAGGTGGCCAAGTGATGAGTTGGTTGAGAAGAATGAAGGTCATCACTTCGAAGCTGGCCTCAGTTGGAGCATCTCGGCTCCCCGGTTGGGGTATGAAAGACGATGAACACGCTTGGTTGGATACACTTGTTGATATGGCTAGGAGCAGACCTCAATGGTGTTCGTACTGTGAGTTTCTTTGTCCCCCCTCCAACCACGATATTAATTCATGCGCATAAGATAATACTTCCTTTTGTGGCACAACAGCCAGCTGTTAGCTCTTCGGAACGGTGTCCATCCGTTACTGGCGATTCAACCGATGTGCCCTTGTTGCATTTTTTACTTTCTAATGTATTGCGGCACAATAGGTGAGGTGTTTTCCAACTCTAGCTAACGTGTATAATGATGATTCGGGTCAAGGGCATTTGAAACGCACTAATATTTCTCAGGGACAACTTTAGGGGTAAGTTAATTAAATGAACTAAGTGAGCATCTGAGTTTAATGAGTTGCAGTAATGGAAAAAAGCGTAGGCAGAATGCAGCGCTAGGCTAGAACTCATATGCTACTTTCTCATCTGGGATTCTTGCTCCATGGGAGAGAAGAGCGGATGTCAGTGATGGCTTCATCACTATCGAAGCTGAGCTAATACCATGACTGGCTCAAAAGTTGAAGCTGCTCTTATAGAATGCCGTTACAATACACACTCGCATTAAGTGACCTGGAACGCAGCAACTTCCATGCTTGTCAAAATAAACTAGTCTATTCTTGGTAATATACTAAAAGCATCAATACTGAATAGCAGAGACGTGAGAATCCACACCAACAACGCGGAAACATGTTGAGAAACGGTAACCGTATTCACATTTGGGTAGAGCCCCTAAGTCAATTGATTCAATCAGCACCACCTGAGCAAAGAATGGATTGCGGATTTAGTGTTAACTGAACTGCTCATGGGAACAGGCGGTACTGTCTGTTGTGAACGAGGGTATCAGCATTGTCTTTGGTCTCCTAAGTGATAGAAAATGGACGCGACTTCGTGGTGTGGTGATCCTTTGCGCAATTATGACATCCACGCCGAGTACGCAATCGCATCTTAGAAGAGGAGTCTCGAAAAAATGTCTAAGAGGGTGTCCTAGATACATGTAAACTTAAGATAAGTGCAAGTAAACATGGGCAACATCCCTATCCGGTTGAAGATACTAAACCGCAGGGGATGAGGTGTCCGTCAACGAGGAGAAACACACTAGTGCTACAAGTGGGGTATGAGATAGGTCGCACTAAAACCTATCACACATCACTCTGAGTTAGATTCGTTGAGAGGATGACCTCCCGGTAAGACCGAGAAGTGGCAGGGAAGGACGCCGAAGCCGATCTAAGATACGGTGCAGATGAACGCTAATTTCGAGGCTTGAATTGGCCACATGGTTGTTTGAAAATCATTAGCAACAGTCTGATCGCGAGATCCACAAGTACCATTCACCCGTTAGTGTTCCTTGGGCAACGGTAAAAAAAGAAGAGATGAACGGTACAATTTGTTCCCAAAAAACGATCATCTGTTCGTGAGTACAAAAAAATGCACGCACAAACTACTAATAGAGCATATCGTTATGATACGAAAAACTGGTCGGACGGAAATGGAGAACGTACCGTTTGGCTGAGAGAGGTGATGTCTGTCGCAACTCCTCCACATCATTTAAGATGACTGCGGAGCCCCCACCTGCAGTCGGGATGATCGAACCCTGGGGGAAACAAAAGTGAAGAACATACTGTGAAAAGATTAAAATAGAGGAAAATGCATGAAACGACGGGGACTGAATGTGTCGTTGCATCCATAGTTCGAAGATGATTAGTGAAACGGGTAATTTTTCAACCGGAAGATCCGATTAATTTGTGATGCACCAAGTGTGCACTACTGCATCAGAAATCAGTAGCATGGATGGAATGAGCGAATCGAGTCAGCGACAGGTAAAACCAACGGCATAACACAAGATGAACATCAGTGGAGGGTGTCAGGGAGGAACGCGTAAGCAGCATGCGATGAACGCTGCGAACAAGGGTGCGTCACGCAGCACCAAGGAGGACGTTCGCAGATAAATACGCAGCATGTGGTTAAATCCAATGAACATTACGGATGCCAATTGTCTGGTTTGTATCAATTGCATAGTAAACGAATCGTGCCATCACTCAGGACAGAGAATAAGGTAGCGTGCTGGAGCAATATGTAATACCCGTATCAAGGAAATTAGAACATGGTGGGCTCCCACAGGTTACTTGGGTGGCGCGGGATTCATTACACCAAGACGTTAACGGTTCCGAGTGAGAACTTTACGACATAATATGCTACGTCATCCGAAAGTGTCAAACTATAGCCGCTACGGGTGGATGATAATGCAAGCGTAGCCACAAGCAGCACGAACATGAAAGACAATGGGAAAGAAAGCAACCCGATCATGCGACGCTGATGCAGTTAAGTACGAAAAGCTGAATCACCCAAAATATCGCACCTTGTACAGTTTGGTGTTCACATTTCCATCCGGAGTGGCTTCTTGGTGATGCAGTAGATAATTTGAGGATTTCAGCGTATCTTTCAGCTCCACTTGTGTGACAGACTTGCGGTTTCTTAGATTTGGGGTGAACACCGTCCCCAAAGGAACTGATGTGGTCTCTTGATGTTCCAACCAGCGACCGTTTTCGCCGCCAATGGAGCGGGACCTGCGGTGCCTAGGGTTAAACGCAGCTACACGTTTGTCATAGGAATTTGTGGCAGTGTCTACTGCCTGACGACGACGAGTTCCAACTTTATCCACTTGCACCGCATTCTTTTGCTCAGCCAACCGACGTTCCCATTGACGGGATAAAATGCTGACGATGTTCTAAAGGAGAAGCGGAATCGGGTGGAGGGGGCGATTAACGTCAGAGAGGGAACTGGCCAAATTACAGGCATCAACAAAAACAACGACGCCTAACTGCCAAAGGAAACTCTTCTCGAGAATAGAACAGACCGAACCTCAGTCGAGACAAAATCTGAAATTAAGTGACAGGGGTAATCTTCAATGTTGGCGGGGTGAAAGCTCAACATAAACATGGTATACAATGCGCCGTAAGAGCAAATGTTAATGCTCACAGAACGTGACCGGTACTCCTGTCGTATGTAACGCCGTTAATGTGAGTGAAAGAAGGTATCAGCAGTACGCCGGTAAGCAGTACCGACGCTTCGCTACCGTGCAACCACCACCACCACTCGCACATAGGCTAAGGATACTGCGATGGTTACCCGGTCCACTACCCAGGTTCGAACCGGAGCTCTTGGATTACAAGGCAGGCTTGTGATCCTTTAGACCACAACCGGCTGTGCGATTAAGTTAGGGCCAAGTTACGCAGATTGTGAAAGAGGTCGTCAATAAATAGCTATGGGTTGCCAATCCGAGGCCGTGACAAAGGGGGGAGAAGGGTACCTTGAGGTGAGTGCGCATGCCAACCAGCAATAAGGCGACTCCACAGTTTATACAAAAGCGTAACTAAATAAATAAAGTCAATTCTCAACAAAATCATTCCGGATAGCGTCTCAAGCGGGGGGATTGATAATATCAGCAACGTATTTCCCTAAAGACAGTGTTGATTTAATGTACCAGTCAATTGCAAGACATGGCAGTTAACATGACCTGTGAGATTGTAGGATGCTCAGACAAACACAACCGAAGCACAACCAAAAGAGATTGATTAAAAAACGGAACAATGAAACAAACTGGCAGAGATAAAACAAGGGAATCAAGGAACGCGCAAACAGTTCAATGCAAACGACGTGCATCTACCTGACAGATAATAACCCTATAGAAAGGGAAAAGTAGAGGGATTGATGAATCCATTTCTCATTGCGAAGTTTTCATTCGGTTAACTCAAGCGCCCGTCCACCTATTGATAATGCTTCGCCTGACAGCGTCTGGATGTGTGCATCGAGTGATGAGCGTAGAAGGTAGCCCTGTGCGTGATTTGGGAAGCTGCACTGGCGCTATTAGCAAACCTGATGACAAGTTTGCAGGAAAAATACTCAGCTCTGAGAGTAACCGAACACTATAACAGGAACACTGGATGCAGCATTGCATCCCGTAAGTGGGCTGATAATCTTAGATTCCGCATTTCCTACAAGTGGGGGAAATTTAGTAGGTATACACAAGATGCAGCCATTGGCGCGGTAAACTCTTCGGTGGCATGTCAGCAGAGGAGACCAAAGTTACTATTATAAGTGGACGAACAGAACACTAAGAAGGGGAAAGACCAGTGGCATGTTGACTGATTTTTGCGATTAAATCAAGCAATTCGCGGACGCGAAACACAGGACAATACGTAAAGCAATTTGATTCGGGTCATCCAAAAATGTTGTCATGATAGTCGGGTCCCGGTCCCAGGAGACCGACGTCATCTGTATACTTCAGATTTGCCAATAAGTCAACTACAAGAAGTTTTATCCCAGTTATCACGGGCACCTATACCAAACCACTGAAGTTGAGATATAGACCTAGAACAAAAGAGAGTTTCCCATACACATTTCCCAAAGATAGATAACTTCACAGTAGTATGGTAAATCAACTGAAGGACAAACAACAGCTCAAGTGTAATAATAGGGATAAACCCTCTGCACTTTCAATACTTTAGCGTCACCCGTTAGACAGCTGTGATTACCTCCTCGGTAGCGGGAATTGTAATGCCAACGACACGAGTGAGAGCGGGTGTTCGGCTGACAAACGCAGAACTACTGAGACATGTCCCGTAGGTGTGTAAATGGATCAACATTGGAAGTTGATTATTCGCTGCACTGTTTCGTTGGTTAAGGTGTTTGTTAGGTCCAGATCTAACAGGACCAGAAGCAGATCTCCGACAATCCCAAAAGCAGAGATCACGATTATGGAAAACTTAGACATTCAACAGCGCGCTCTAGAAATCTCGAAGCCTCTAGTTAGTTGTTACCACAAAATATTGCTACTCTGAACTATAATATCAATTGTACAAAGACTATGAAATCCATGCATTCTGCGTGCAAGGCAGAGGGAGAAGCGAATTCCCAGCACTTTGTAGATGAGCTAAAAGCACGTTCCGTCCATCCAGTGATAGTCATTATCCCAGTTAAACCATCAGTGTTGGCTGGTGGACCGTTGGCTCAGCTAACGCGTGATAACCAACAGCACCGTGAAGTTGTGAACAGTAGGTAAGAAACAATTGTGGGGCTTCAACGGAAAGATTCAAATAGAACAACTTACAGACTGGGAGACAGAAGGCCTGAGGCGCCCCTCGCGTTGGTCATCGTGGACGCCAGATGAACGAGCTTTCTTCGAATTGGCTAGTTCGGCTCTAAGTGATTCGATCTCCGATCGGTACTCCGCCATTTGGCGCATCTGGTTATCCAGCTCTCGGCTGGCTGATTCAGCATTCTCAACAATTTGGCCCTAATAGATAAGGAAAGCATATTTTGTGAAAAGCGAACTGCGTGTGTGCACATTCTGCGTTTTATGCTGACTCCAAAAGTAATGAAGTGTAGCGAGAAACGATTTTTGCAGGCACACAGTCACAGAAGACAGTTAGATAGAGCAGCGCACATCAAGGCGCATATAGTTATAGTTCGCAGTGCCAGAGGCCAAATGGAAGATAAGAAAAATGGTCTTGCTAAGAACGTATCACACGGGGACGAGTGCAGAAGTTCATGATTTCCCGCCTATTTTGTGACATAATAGTGGCAAAGTAGGAAGTTATATCAGCCGAATGGTGCATCATGTGCACGATGAAAATGTTTAGTGATATGAAGCGCGATTCGCGCCCGAACGATGTTTTTAATAGCTATATAGTGATAGGCACATTTACCTCGAGCCAACGTATGTGGGCTTCCAGTTTTGAGCGGTCTGAAAAATCGCAAGTAGAGTGATTTGGAGTAATTTGTGGCGAATCGGTGTTCATGACATCGGTCAGATGAATTCGGAAGGTGGCCATCTCACACTCCAATGCACTAAAGGCTCGTTTTCTGGTCTCCATTCGTTGAGTGAGCAGAGCACGAAGAGGTTCCGTATCAACTTTCCGCAAGACAAAATTTTTCCCACGCACTCCACCAATGTATCTGTCTTGCTCGGGAGCTGAATCTTGTGTGCTTTCATCCGAGAGACAATTTTCGTCGTTTCCAGGTTCACTCGCAAGTCGATCCTGTCCCAACTCCTGGGATTTAATCTCATCAAGAAACCGAGAAAGGTAACGATCGATTTCTGCATCGTAATTGCTAAGCTCCAGTAACACGGACTTCGTTTGTTCACCGGTCTGGAAAATGATAAAAGGGGTACAAACTGTGTGCATAGTATGAGTAGTAAGAGACGAAAACAAAGTGACAAAAAGTACTAAATGTGTAAGATGACTGAAGCAGACGAGGACTACTACTACTACTACTACTAAGAGGACTACAAATGCCATGAAAGCTTGCGTACGGCACTAGGCTGGCTTGCCGGCTTCGTGATTTCGCGGCAGTGTCCCAGTACATGGTGTGTTTGGGCCAGATAAGAGTTCGCCGTATACAACCAAAAATGACTGTTTAAGAGTATTGCAATATGGCTGTGTCTCGCCACTAACTGCAGTCACTGCTCTTTGCTTCAACTTGGTGAACCATCGTATTTCGGCCTGTCGTGCAAACCTATGAACTAAGTAATCAGCCACCAGTTCACAATAGATGTGATTCCCTGACTTCGGTCTGCTTATCAGCTAAAGAGGGTCGGGGTGGTGTCCCGTAAGTCAACTCCGTACTTCGGCTTTGGGGACCAGTAGTATCGCGGGCTCCGATAAAAGCATGGATTGAAATGTTTTGTTACTTAACATTTTCTTTTTAATATAACCGCACCTTTGTGATTTTTGTGGTTGTTGATTGATCCACGTCTATTCACAGGCTGCTGAATATATACGGTTGGGGACAATTGGTTCCGAATTTGCCTGTCGCTGTGACCTCCATAGAGGACAACCACAGAACGACCGCCATACATCACGCTTCATCGCTGTTAGGCTGCACCGACTTACACTTAAACTAGATCTTCCAAACATGGATTTAAAAATTTCCTACTTTATTTGATTTCTTTAGTTCTGTTATTCTGCTGTATATTCCGTGTCATTTTTGAGTGCCTATTTCGCTCCAAATGTTGCGTTTGTTTGGTTGATAACATCGGTGTGGCTACGCTTAATGTGAATGCTGACAGGGCGCCTACCTGTCGAATAACCACTACCTCGATCATACTGGCTCCAGGGGGCAAGTGGTCGTTGCTGGAGGGAACAGGGTGCCCGGTCATCGTGATGGTGTTAGGCTCAAAGAGTGTTTCCATGCATCCAGTGGGGAGCGGACTAAGGCGCAGCCACGGCTTTGTGTGCGACTGGTAGACATAATTCGCAAATGAGATTGACGGGAATGCGGCTGCTGTACATGTTGAAGCAGAATGGGCCGGCTCCGTTGATAAAACGTCGCCTCCCAGTCTTCGGGTTTACACTGGATAGAGGATGTGCGGATGGGAGTGAGTGGTACAGCGCAAGCCACCTATGGTTGGTCTGTAGGCGCAGGCATTCTGGGACGGTCCTATGGAGGCCACACTGACAAGCAAATTCGGAACTGGACACCGTCAATCATATACATGTATAAGAAAGTAAAGAAATCGGGACGATGTTCAGACAACTGCCGGGAGAGATCACTGGATAAGATCCGATGAAAACAAGTAGCATGCAGTGGCGGCTTTTGGAGAACCCAGAGTGAATGCTCTACGAAACATTGGTTCATAAGTAGTAAAAAATAACGTGGACGGAAACCCTCGTCAGAAGCGAGGAATAACGCCCGCCAATTGTTGAATATGAAGGCCAAACCATTATTGTACGCAGACGAGTGGTTGAAATCGCCTAGATGGAGCACTCAGCTGACACATCAGGAGTGAGCGACCGAAGGTAGCGGAAGCTAAATCAGCGGTGGTTGTATAACGGAAACAGGCTTAGAACGCGAAGAGAGGAACATTTGGAGCTTACCATTTGTGATGGGCGACGCGCAAAATCAGGTGGACTAATGAACCTCACAGTGGAAGTGCAGATCAGATAGTCAGATTTCTGAGCGGTGATCAGCCATCGGGGCAGAAGGTGACTGGAGGAGACAATACGTCTGAAAGATTAGAATGCAGTGGTGCATGCTATGTTTATGTATGCTAGGGTCACCGGGAAACCATAAGTTGCAGGACGGATGAACACTGCTCATGGTCTTGGATCCACTCATATGGTTTCTATGGGCGCATAAGAGCACAGAAAGTGTTGTTTTGAAGCGCACGCAATAAGGTCAGGAAGAATGACAGCCGAGCTCCGACGAAGGAACAATGTCAATACTATTGAATTTTACTGGTATCGCAATTAGAACAAAGAGGTGCAACAGCAAATATGGTGAGGTCGACGGAGACTGGACGATCGACATAGCTTGGTTTGATCGCTTAGAAGAGGTGTGAGACCACAGAATCCGTACCGTAAAGCCAGGTTTAAGTAAGCACAACTGGAGCGTCGGGTTGTGAGTTGTCTATAACTGGAAGCTTCGTTCAGAGAGTGAAATGCAACTTATTAGATTTGGTTCTTTTTCTCGGTACAAAGACTGTATGGAAGATAAATGACGGGAGTGAATAGCCTGTCGGTGAAGAGTTCCCAACCGATGGTGCCAAATTCAAAGCAGCTACGTTAATGGAGAACGTGTGGAGCGGTTGAAATGAGTCGCCGTCAGATTGATAAGATCTGCGCATCGATTAATGGTGTCTCGCATGATCTGGAATAAGGCTTCATTTATTTATTGATAGTATTGTTAGTAGAAGAGATGGATTGAGTGGGAGAGCAAGTTTATCCGTTTGCAATTAAAGAGAGGTTCACTAGGATTTAACGGGGCGGCCTCCGCCCAGTGGACGGAAGGGTAGGTTGGTAGCCCCCAAAGTTAGCAAGCGATTGCTCTGTACCCAGTGGGATAGGGCTACAGCGAACAATTCGTCCCTTAGTCAATGAGCCCCAATTAAGTACTGTGCCTCACAAATAATTGGTCTGGAATGCGCTGTCGACATTGAAAGTGGTATCGTACGCAATGTGACCGTAGGGTACACTATCGAGATGATTAACGAAAGTGGTTTTCAACCAGTTGATCTAGCGTGAAACAGCAGAGTAATGAAATGGTTTAAAGATAGCAAACTCAAAAGTACCGCGCGGACAAGACCAAAATCCCCTGTCAGCGCTTCAAGTAACATACGCTGGGGAAGTTTAGCAGCCAATAGATATTATTATTCTTACCATACGCTGCACACAATCGCATTGGGACATACAGATTCGACTACGTTCCGAATACCGGCTCTCGTCATTCAAAACCTAGCGATGTCGAGAAAGCAGTTTATGCAACAAGTTGAATCAATAGGATAAGAAAGGTGAGGAAGCAGGGGATGGTGATTGTTCAAGGTTTGGGAACAAAGGATATTAAATCACACCCTGAGTGCACACGACCAGCGCAAGTATGAATCCTTAAGGCCAATTTTGCGCAGACGCGATCGCCAGGGGTTTAGGTGTGTATAAAATGGAAGAAAAAGAGAGAGCGCTGCGAAGTTGTTAATTCTGCACCCAAAATGAAACACAACAGCGGGATGCTCTAGTGGACTGTATCTTGATGGACACACCAGATGCGAAGGTCAAGCTGAGACGAAGAGCCTAGTAAGGATAAAAAGCGTACAAATAAACATCAAGATTAGCTGCCAGATCAAAGCAGGCGGATCGCTGTATCGCGTTTCGTGGCCGGAAAACCAGAGAGGAAGTTCTGTGAACCAAAAGTTATCAAGATGACTTAAAACCAAGAGTACCTGTGGGGTGGTAACGTCACCTTGTTAGCCTAAGGGAAAAGGTGCTATACTACAAGTTGCAATACATGTACTAGAGAATTGGCCGTTAAACGCTAACGATACATGATAAAAGTACATACTAACCCCTAGCGGCTATGGAACATCTCTCACGCGAGGCCAGCAAATGATCGTTAGGTCTACCAGCTGACTGTAGGCAACCAACTATCCGACATCGCGCTGGACTACCTGATAATCGGGAACAGGCCGAAATTGACCGGTTACGTTCGAGTATGAGCCTGTAGATCGTTCACCTAGCTGGTCGATATATAAACGACGGTGACATCGCGACGTCAGTACGATGTCAACCTTTACTTTACGAAAAAGTCACCGATAGAATGGCATAGTTTCAGCTGTGGAGTGCCAACCAAGTCCACCTGAGGCAATGGCAGAACACAGCAGTTTAGACATCTCAGTGGCACATCCGGTCACTTGGAACGTTTGGTGGCCACCCGAGTCAAATGTCTTGGTCACAACTTTGGAGAGAGCAAGTGTTACTAGCTTTGAAGATAAAGCCAACGGCCCCGGGTATAAGGGCAAGTGGGAAACGTCATGATGGACCTACCATAGTCGCCAAAATGAGAAAATCCATCGGAAGATTGTGGAATCTACGATGACAGTGGTGCTACGTTTTAGATTTTGGTTCTTATTGAAATCGAATGCATCGTTTCCCTGAAGATGCGCAGTAAAACGATGGGCAACATATCGAACCGTTTGCATGCATGCATCAAGATGGGAGACAAACGGTGGAAGCATAATGAGAATAGACAGAAGTAACAAGCGAGGGTGGACGTGAGAAAAGGTGATGTGGTGAGTAGGAAAATAGCGAATGCATGGATATGATCAATGTTGAAGGCGCAAACCAAAATGTGCAGCTGCAGTGTATCGAGGTCAAGGAGCAGCAGTGTGTGTGAGATTAACTGCGAAAGTTCAAATCCCTTTATATATGGATAAAGGAGAAATTATCAGCGGTAGGTTGGGGCCCATGGCTGCCACGCAACCAACAAAAAAATAATAATGTGTCAGCTGTACGCTGTAACGGAGCTTCGCTGCCGTGCGACCACCACTGATCGTACGCGGGCCGAGAATACCGCGAGGATATCCACCTCTAAGCGGATTCGAACCCGCGCCGCAAGATTACGAGATAATCTCGTTAGCTTTAGACTACAGGCCAACCATCAGCGGTTGCATGTGAGTTGAGATGCTGAAAAAGAGCATGTACATAAGCAGATTCGAACCAGTGGACTACAAGTCTAACGCTTTAACCACTCTGCCGCATTTCGGATCGTTGGCTAAGCATCGTGATAATGCAACACCGGGCTGGCTTGTGGACGAGGTTGATTGAGCTCATGACAACCGTCCGACCAATAACAACATGTGCAATCTCACCGGGCTCAGTTCAGAGACCGGTGGAGAGACCGCAATGCAAAGAAAAGATAGTATACGTGATCTTAGCTCAGAGAAGCAGGAAACGAGTCAGATATGGATGCGAAGGTTATCAGTGCATATCTCCCCGGATGGACGTAATATTGATGAACGAGCAGACAGATGACGGATGAAATGAGCTATTTAACCCTGTGGACCCGAACACAACACAGATAGAGAAACAAAAAATTGCAGCAGGAAAGACTATCATGTCACCTCATGAAAGGATGTATGCGAAGTGAATACGGGAGATAAGAGTGCCCAAAATTGCAATCGTGTACGTAAGAATTAAGAAGTATTCGTTGAGAATACATTACTGGTAAAGCTAAAGCCCAACCGGCTGTGTTGAGACCCTGTAGCAAAGAGCAGTCAACATAAAAAACGTAAAGAGTAAATAAAAACGGCAAGTTACCGTGGAAGACATGGTTGTATCTCTGGACTCAGTGGAGCGATCGGAGTCACGTATGGGAAGCATGTAATGCGGCCGCAGATGGGAAGGTGCAGGGGAACGAAGAGGGGGACGGGAGGGGGTACGAAAAGTGGCCACTTCCTGACTTGTTTCTGCGAATTTCAGCACGTTCTACAAAGAGATAGAGATTAGGATGACGAAGTTGGAATAAGAAAAAGAAAAAGCTCGGATACTCATCAATAAGCAAAGTACAGTGGCCAAATATAATAAAGGACTAAAGGTCAAACATGCGTTGTTGAACAAGCGTGGAACACGAGTCTGCACAGTAGGAATGACGTACATTGCTAGGCAAACGAATAGACAGCTGAAATTTTCGGACATGGATGATATGGTTGTATGCTAAGAATACCGCTAAGGGCAATGTGAGGTTCTTTATCCCTCCTACCACTTAGCATCAACCTCGAACCATGATCTCACACTGGATGTATAAGATGATGCTATGCACTAAATTACTTGTTTTTGGTTTTTGTTTTGTGTTCTATTATGTTCAGTACCTCACTTTTTCATAGATTTTTTGTGTTGCAGCAGAACAGTTAATGCCCCGCCTTTAACTAACGTATAATGATGATGACAGCTAACGGTCGGTGATGGAGAGCAAAGATTAGAAAGCGTAGTAGCGACGAAGCGATAGTGCATACGAGCAAGACACAGAGCGTTACGAGTGTGCTTGGACAGGAGATCGAGACAGGGGTCTGAATAGCTTCGAGAGCTTCGGATCTTCAGTGCGACTTTTCTTAAGCGACACGGTCACTCATAACTCAGGAAACTGACAAGTAGCTTAGGCAAAGCAGGTTGCTAGGTGAAAGGACGCAGGTCAAGAATGAAGGTAACGAGTCGGCTGATATGGCGCCAGAGCTACGCTCATAAGTGGCCTCGGAGGTAATACCATAGGAGTACACACCGCTCGATCTTCATCGTACAGAACACCGCTTACAGCTCAAGCTATCATGTGAACTTTCCGTCCATGGTCAACCAACGTAGGGGTACAAAGTGACGCCAGGATGATCTCGGTCAATCAATGAGTAAACAGATCGAAGTGGACACTGGTACCCAACAGTCTTACAAATAACCGATTGCTGTAAATACGTCTCAGGTATCACATACGACCGGTCGTCTTTGGATAGCCGGGCACCAAAGACGGAACGAGCCAGGTCTCGCGAGCGTAAAAGTTACGGGCTTTACGATGCCTTATGAGCTAACATGCAGGGTAAGTGAGATTTGAACAGTTTTAAGGGACATTCTAGTGTTCAACAAACACGGAGCAGGTTCAGTGATCAGCAGTTCGTCACCACTGCAGTGAAGGAAACTGAACTGAGTCGTCGGCTACCCGTGGCTTGACCACATTAAGAAATGGAGATAAGTGGTCATGCGGCGGAGACGTAGACAAATGACGCAAAGCACACTGAAATCAAGAACTGGTAAGAATGGTCTGTCGTAAGTCTCGCCGATGTAATCGCAATCGGTGTGGCAACAGAGCCCAATGCATTGGGCTGTCAGAGAAAAACGCACAAGGAGCGCTTTCGGCGAACACCATGTTGTAATGAACTGGCAAGCTTTGACAAATCGAGAGGGATTTGCAAGATTCCATAAGGCACAAACACGGAACAACATCCAAGCGCGGTGCGATCGGAAGGCTCGAGTCAAAATTACACTTGATCCAACGTATTTCTGGCACAAAATTTATCTGGATGAACCCAACTGAGAAACGCAGTTGGTCGCAAGATAGCGAAGTAAGATAAGCCATCAGCTTTGTTAAAATAGATAGTGCTCCTTGGTGATTAGTATGGCCAATGCAGTACCAGGGTCTTTTGAACAGCAATAGAAGGAAGGGACTGCAAAGAGCACAGCAAATCGTGAGCAGACAGCTGACAACACCGCCTATCGGATCAAGTGAAACCATTAAATTGAATTAGACGGATTTGGTCGGACAAGATGAGAGAACAACGCCAGAAGAATCACTGAATCGGTAGGTTGCCTGGGAGACAACTTCACCGTAAAAACATAGGTATAACATATTTGATGGAGGAGGTTAGAAAGCCACATGCAGTGCAAAACGGTTTTAACTCAGGGGATGATCTAGTTTAACAGCCAGAAGGCTACTGCAGCAGGCCCGTAGCCCTAAGGATCACAAGCCTGCCCTGTAATCTGATGGCGCGGGTCCGAGCTTGCGTAGGGACAGGGCGAATCTCGCAGTACCCTTATCCTACGTGCATCTACTGGTGGTTGTGGGCACTGAAGCATCGGTACAGTTGATATCCTTTCTAGACTGCTGCACAGTTCGGCTCAAGGGCAGCAACAAACGAGCATGCATAGGTAAGACGCTGAGGGGTTCAACAATTGGGTTGCATTAGAAGTGGTGGTGTCAATTGGAGTGGAGATCTACAATGTCGCAACCAAATGTATCAGTGCCATGCACAAGCAAACAAACTGGCGTAATTCTATCAGATAAGAGAGTGGGAGAAGAAGATGCAAACACTGAACAAAATGAGGAACAGTAAGGAGCGGTTGACTCCGCGGCTGCAGCAATGATCAGCAACATAATGTCGCACATGAGGCCATTTCTCAATATGTGTCATATACTGAGTTGAACACTCATTTGATCTTGGCAAGGCGCAGCAATTGTGGCCACAAAGATGATACTCTAAACACATGGTTTGTTACGGATTTCATAGCGCGGACTACCAGGCTTATTCACGCCTCTAGAAGATGCGACAACCAGGTGAGGTTAGCACCAGTCCATCCCTTAGCTGAACAATGAACAGCCGGGTGTCTCGACAGCCACCGTTTCACATGACAGTATATGGCACAACGGATGCCAGCACTAGTATGATGACCTCAATCGCAAGCGGTGACACAATTAACACAAATCGAATTTACAGCCCTCAGGGTGGCGAATTTTCTTCCTTCTCCTTCTGTTGTGAATGGAATGTGAACGGACAGAAACACCTGGTATCCTCTAGCTTTTATCTGTAAGAAGGCTAAGGCAGGGTGTCATATCTTACACACAAAGAAGAGTCAGGAAACCGAGAAATAACTCGACTGATTTCAGTAAACAAGCTGGAAACACGTAGGTTGAGGAAGTAAAGGTGAACAAAACTATGTCAGCCAATCTGAAGTGGTGTAGGAACTGCGTTCATTGGCCATGGTGATTAAGAGTAAACGCGCGATTTCAAAAACGCCGGAAAGATATCGAGTAAAATAGAAAAGATAACGTCTAAGGAGAATGTAGCGGTGGCAGCGACAAAAAAAACCTTAAGGTGTATTGGCGATGACTGATCAGACCGGAGTACCAGCTGGAATACAAATGCATAATGAAAACACGTTACTTTTAGATTGGAAGTAATTAAAGCAGACAGCAAGTGGAAGCGTCGTGTGGCAGTCAGCCCACAAATGTAACTGATGACAAGTATGGCTGAGTGCCAACAACAAACCATGAATCAATGCACCAACGGTGGCGGAACACTTGCTCCCGTGGACACACTACTAAGCCACAAACATATATTGTTTTCAATACCAGATTGAAAAAGACGGAAGAATATGGAACACGTCTTGAGTACTTACCATCGTCTCATCATAGTCATCAAGTGACTGCCGAATGCACACGAGTATGACCACACGACCGTTTCCCTCGAAGTAGTTTTTGAATAGATGGGTGAGACGTCTGTCGCGATAAGGGACCACACGTGTTGTCCCGCCAGGTGTGGCAGCACCCAGTGGACCTTGGGCAGACTGTATTTCACGTAAAACCTGCAGACACTTTCGAAGATTCATCAGACAGTTGTTTATGCTAGCTGAAACGAGAAGGCCGATGCTTATATTTGGACTGTGGAATTAAACTGCAGAGGAATACATGATAACAAAAGCAAACACAAGGAGAGGCCGCTTAGCCTTTCAAAGTCATAAGAATATCTCATTTTTGAGTCAAAAACAGAGAAACACAGCTAGGGAAGCAGAACACACAGGGCAGTGAAGGTTATTGGTGGTTCGGACTCGGTGCGAGACAGTTGTCAGTGAAGTAACGAGACGAATATGATGAGAAGAGTGGACACCTAGTTGTACCAGTAGCGCCGGAATATCGGTAACTGGTGGTCGAGAGACAGATCTCTTAACTGACAGTATATCGCTCACCCTCAAATCGTAACCAGAGGTGGCCCGCTATAGCGCAAGTAATAGAGACCACTGTACTTGGACACCGGTTTACGTTTGATTCGCCAGCCCAAAGATCGTGGTTTGAAAAACCATCGCTGTCCGCTGAACCTGTTCAAGTGCACCATGGCAAATGAAGCTGCTCAACCTAGTGTTGGTAGCACGCGTGTCACTTGCCAGGCACTATTTACGGAGGAGTGATAACGATGCAAATATTGTGCTCCGAAGGGGAAAAGTAACCACCACGGTGGAATAAATTGAAGTAGTTACTGAGCATGACCCATACGTTACTGAACTGTCAGGTTGGTTGCAATATCAGTTTTTAGTGAAGTTAAAGCGGATGTTAAGATGATCTTACGAACCAACAGTAGCACAACGGATTAACTAATAAAACTAGTCTAGTAGACCAAATGCAAAGTACCATCATATGGATGAGTGCAAACGCTATGATAAAGGGGTACAAGATCTAACAGACCGATCCCGGAAAGTTGGCGCTAGATGCGACAGAACAAAGAGAATCAAAATGGACGACAAATACCGCGAATTCGAAGTAAACGGAGCGACTATCAGTTCATGTTACGATACAAATAGAAAATGATCAGTGTGTCAGGAAGTACAACGGTGGAGGAAGAAAGAGAATCGGTAAGCGGGCTCAGTATACCGGGGTAATAAAGGAGGGAATCAAATTTTATATTGGGACCGTATCTTTGATGAACAGTTGGAGAGCCTACTTTAATCAAAAGGGGCCAGTAGATCGTAACACGATACGTATGTAGTAAAGGGATACCAAGTGAACAAGAGACGAATAATAAGACTCACAGGCTTCCTTGAGACGTTCACCATGAGTTCCAGCACGGCTTGCTCGTTCGGAACCGGCCAGATCGACAAGGCAAAGTTGACTAACAGTGAGCAGACTCTTGTCCTTTGGAAAATAGAACGCCGTAGTGGGACAGAAGTTACACATGCAGCGAGACAACATAAACGGTAGTGACACCGACAAAAACCAGACCAGCGAGACGGGTGCAGATACAAAGAAGAGGTACATAGGAAAATTTTGCGGAGGTAGGTCATCAGCTTGGTTCCGTAAACCCGGTATCTTGACGTATAATCGGAAATGCAAAGTTGACCACAGAAGCATTCGCATGCTTTAAGCAGCGAAGTTGCTAGTGTGCCTGTGGGTGGCACAAATTGAAGTAATATAACTGGTAAACTAGAAAAGACAAAGATGGTCAAGATTCTAAGAAATGCTCATCAAAAGAACCGTCACGCCTCTGTAGGGGACCACATACCGCAAACAAACAAAACGGAATCACGAAGAGTAAAAGATAGCGAAAGTAAGAATAGTTGAGTATAGTTCTGTTGAAAAACTATGATCAAGGTACCGAAGTGTGGTAAATTCAGCTGCTACGATTCACGTTGCCAGATTAATAGATAACGAAAGCAAGAAAAAGCGGATTGCAAGCAATTAAAATAAAAAGGAGACAAGAAAGAAGTGCGTTAAACTAATCAGCATGGAATGAAAATAACAGAGATACAAGAAACCGAATACAGGAACGCCAGTGACCGCGCGACTGCTCTAGCTTTGACATCATCATCAATATACGTTAGCCGAGGGTGAGAAACACACCTCAACAAATGTGTTTGACAGTCTCCAGTCGCTGATGTGGACCATCCCGCGGGACCTGTCTACAAAGGCTATCCGCACCAGCCTGGCCAAGCCTCTCAGACAATTTGCTTACGCATTTGTACCCCGTCATCCATTGGCCACCTCGCGCTTTCCACCAAGATGACGTAGCATGGAGTATGATACACGTCGATGGAGACAATCCAAGGGTATATTGAAAACATAGCACAACCAACGCAAGCGGTTAGGATACAACAGACACCAGACGGTTTCTCGCCAAAACTCATCTAGCTGACCTCACCATTGCTAACGCGGGGTTTTTATCCAATGTGAATAATACTCAGCAATCAGCGGTGATAAGACACGGCCAAACGTTCAGTGTCATCACTGAGAACTGGCCAGGCCTCAGATCCATGCAGTAACCCAGGCTTTATCGCAACGTTATATACCCTATCTTTCAGTGACAAGGTGGTATCACTCCGTCTTCATAGATGTTTGATCCTCTGGGATGCATCACGGGTCTCGCTGAAACGCGAAGTAACCTTCGCAGTAATGTGACCTAGCTACTAAAGTAAATAAACAGATCCAACAAATCTAAAGGCTGTTCTCTGGAAGATAAACCCTGTGGCGTATCGGTCCAGTCCCGCAAAAGCAAATTACAATTTGAATACGAAAAAGTACACGCCGAAGCGTGCAGCGCTACGCACTAGATGATTCAGTAGTGTTTGCATAGTCACTGAGTCAGACCCAATGGGAACTACGTCGTTCGCATATTCAAGGTTTGTCAGTCGATCACTTGATAGAAGTCTCACTAAGGAAGAGACTGAAAGAACGGAGTCTTTCCTGACCATTCCGAGCAAAAAGTTGAAAAGGAAAGGTGATGCAGGACAAACCTGGCGAACCCTACTTGCCGTGAGGAACTCAGGAGACAGCGTCCCGTGGAACCATACTCGGCCGCAGGAGTCACGACAGAGACTTCGGAACGGAACGGAGGTTTCCAGGTAGTCCCTTCGCGGATAGACAATGCAACAAGCTGGCAAAATCGACAGAGTCGAACGCAGCTTTGACAAGAAAAACCACCAGTCCGTGGGCAGCTAAAAGTAGGTACTACTGCATAGTCAGTAGTGAATAAGTACCAAGAAAAAAGACGCTAGCTGATCAACAGCGGACCGTAAAACGCCATGACCTGCTAAGGTAGATCATGAGGGTCCGTTGGCCGGAGCCATTTGAAGTGGCGCATATGCAGACGTTCTGGGAGAGGTTCGAGGATGTGGAGGAGGCGGTTGGAGTGAAGACCGACTGCGCTTGCCGAGATTCCTCGAGTGCCCTGTTTGGAGCAGGGGCGCATCCCCTTGTGCTTGCGGTTTACATCCGGGGATTGCCGGATCAGTTCCTGAGCAGTCTCCCGCAGTCGATCGCGGAACGCATCCGGATTGCAAATGCAACCCGGGGGATACAACCGAAGGAGCTTGCGCAGGTGAGCCGTGAGCTGAGCGACGCGCCACTTGATGTGTTGGAAGCGAAACACAGTGGAGCAGTTGGATAGATTGGAGCAGGTGATGGAACAGCTCGAGTAAGATGTAAGTGGCCTTGGAGCACAGCGCACGGAGTGACCAAGAAAATGCTGCTTCCTTTTCGGAAAACAGGGACACTAGACGCGACGATGGCCGGCGACGAGCGCTGCGTCCCATGTACCAAGTCAGCATGATCAGTTTTTCATTTTCTCGGGTTGAGGAATGTGTACTCGGGGAGCTGAACAAGGGGGATGGAAATGATGGTGGAAGTAGACGATACGATGGAACGGTGTCCGATTGATGCAGGTGCCGCAGTGTCCGTAAGGCCATTGATGGGGCGGAAAACTTCTGTTATACTCCATGAAGGTGAGAAACGTTGGTAGTTAGTATGTATTGAAGGTATGGCAGAACATATCGTGGGAAGTGTAGTGTGGAATCTAAGACACAACTTCATCGTATCACCAGACGCGAAGTAGATAATATTGGGGGGAAATTGTTTGGAATCGTTGACTGAATACGGGTTTTTACCATTTACTGTCCATGTAAGAACTGTTCCATTGCACTCGGATGTTGCCGTTTTACACGTGAGCACAGCTTTAAAGTCCTTCATCAGCAAGTCGATCGGTGTCAAAGTGGCCTGCGCGCCTGGTTCGCAACCAGAAGGTCACCGGTTCGAATCCGTTTAGGGGTGGGCTCCCTCGCGGTATACTCAGCCCACGAGCGACTGGTAGTGGTCGAGTGGCAGCGAAGCGCCGTTGTGGCGTACAGCTGGCGATTTATTTTATTTTACGACCTGCTCACGGATGAAGGCAACCCGTATGGATTTTGTGACTGGATCGAGCACACCATCCGGCTACTCCGCCAGAAGTATCGGCCACACTGGGCCCTCAAAGGATACCAATCCATCTAGAAGCTGAGCTGAAAAAGAAAGTATAGGAGATGCTGGATGCGGATGTGATCGAAGAGGTGCAGAGCCCACACAATTCCCCAGTTGTTTTGGTGAAGAAGACTAACGGGAAGCCACCGTCTCTGTGCGGATTTCTAAAGGGCGAATGAAATCTCCGTGAGTCAGTTCATCCTAGCGCCATCAATTGTAAGGATTTTTTGATAGATCGCAGCAGGCAAATATAGTCACGGCACTGGATCTGAGCTCTGAATACTGGCAGCTAGCGATCAAACGAGGTGACGGGGAAAATCGGTGTTTACGATCAGAGAGAAGCAATACAAATTTAGAAGGATGCCTTTAGGAGTATCGGGATCAGCGTTTACTCGATAGCTTAGAGGTGGCAATATACGGGGATATCATTGTGTATGGTCAGAAAGAGAGCACAGCGGCCATTTCGAAGCAATCTTGGAACGGATTCAGCAGTCTGGACTAAGTATAAACGGGCCGAAATCCCAGACTGGAAAGAAATCTGACATTAGTCGGCCTAACACAAGGCAAGGTAAATTGAAGCCGCTGCCTGAGAAAATATTGACAATACAAGGTACCCCAGTCCGAACCTCAAAGCATACCCTCAGGGCAGGGTCCTACAGCATATTCATCAGGGAATTCAACACGCTGACCCACATTGTACGAACTGCTGAAACAGTATAAGTAATTTACTTGGACTGCGGAAGCTCAACGGGTTTTGGCAGCATTAAGCAAGAAATGGGAGAACAGGAGCTGATCCTGAGGTCGCCCGCTGCCGGTGAGGTGTTCATGGTGGTCACTGATGCTCAGTGAAGTTGGAGAAGCATTGAAACAAAGCCACGGGACGATTGAGTATGCCAGAAGAATTTTGACACTGGCGGTACACAAATACTGGACTGCCAAGAAGGAAGGTTTCGCAATCGTTTGGGCATTGGGGAAATAGCGGTCGTACTTGCTAGGTCAGTGATTGTATGTCGAAACAGACTGCAACCCTCTAGAATGGATTAAGTTCGCCGAAGACCCCAGGAGAAAGCTAGTGCGATGGGCGTTGTGCCTTCAGAAATAAGATTTTATGATAAACTACGTGCCGGAGAAGAGGAACCAAACTACAGTTTTATCACGCATGAAGATGACGCATTGAGCGAGGCTTTCGGCATCAATGGTACACTGCTGGAGCAGGATTTGGGACAAGTGGTGAGTGATCAAGGTAGTGACAACCTATGGTATAAAGTGCTCACTGCACGAACAACCTGTCAATCGGTCCTACACAGAAGTGCATACGAGCGGCTCAGACCGTTTGCAAGGAAATTAAGAAGGCTACAAGTAAATGAGGCGGGAATTCTGATGTGAATGTCATGAGGTAGCAGGGTCGCAGTGCCCGTGATTCCGAAGAAAACAAAGCGGAAGCTGGTGAATGCTTGGTACGGAATGGTACACATCGGTTGTTTCGGGACCTATGATTTAGTGAAACAATGCGCCTACTAGCCAACAGGCTTCATTTTTTACCGATATCGGTTACATTATATTGCGGTACAAGAGTTGATGTTTCTCACCGCTAACAAATGTGTTGTGTGATGATGATGACTGTAAGTCATCCGATGGCCCAAAGGATTACGTGCATACCTAGTAATCCGGAGGTCAGTGATTAGGACCCGCATGAGCGCGGGCAATCTCGCGGTATAGCCAGTCCACGTGCGACTGGTGGTGGTGGTATGTCAGCAAAGCATCAGTACCATGTGCCGGCGTACTGCTGACACCGCCCAGTTCATCGGATATTCAGGGTAAGCATGCAATTACACGAACGTGATGACCGGACATATCGGAAAAGTAAGTGGGATTGGCGAGTTTTCTCTAATTGGCAGGGACGCCGAGATTACCTTCATCAGTGGGTAGGAAACCCAAATAATAAAACAATGAACAAGTCAATTGGGACCTTGCACTTAGTGAGTTCAGGGGGCGGCATAAATGTTCTGAAGGGAATATAATTCCAGCTGAACTCAAGTTAAGTCAAGCCTTATACACCCATGTGGGGGCATTTTCAGCGATTTACGCTAACACTGCGGACATACTACAACATAGAACTGGTGAGAAAATGATGTGAAATGACACGAATAATAAAAATAGCCCGTATTCAAATATGCAAATGCGTGAACAATTGTTGCATTATCACTTTTGGATCGATTAATAGGCGAGACAGATAAGGCGCTATGGAGTTGAGATACGAAGAGATACGGGGAAAATGAAACTTTAAATTTTGACCACATGGAAGAAACGAATGCCGTAGTTGCTAAAACAGTGTGCAGGTGAAAGGAGTCGTTTAGATTACTGAATGAAAAGTTAAAGCTTGCGTTAAAATGATTGCTAACAAAATCAAGGAGGGACGCTCTGCTTAATCCAGACCACCGGGAAAGAAAATTAGTGATCACACAAGAAAAGTATAATCCTTTTGAAGAAGTCCTGGAAAGTAACCGGAGCAGTACAGCCAACGTGGGAGAGTACATTTATGTACAAAACTTAAAACAAGAGCACCCGGTACGGACAGCGTTCCGAGCCTAAGCGATTAAAAAGATAGCCTACTGATTTTTTGAAAAGTTTCAAGAATATGAGTAGATCAGATAAGTTGTAGGAGAAAATACACCGAGGTACGCTACGGAATATAAATGAGGGATGCCTTGGTCATTCACGACCAAAGGAGGAGAGGCGTTTAAAAAAGAACGCAGTTTATCGTAGCGGAGAAAAGGGAATGTGAAATCACAACACTTAGAAGGGTTAAGGAAGAGGGAGCGGTAGTTTAACCAAGTCAAGAGTTTGTCCAATCCTCGTTGGAGTTTCGAAGATTCCTCAATCATTGGGGTTGTACACTCTAGGATGACGTCGTCAGCGTAGTAGTTGGTAAAGACAGACACTCAACGTAGAGGAAAACAAAAAGCGGGATAGGATGGCTCTTTGTAGGACCTTACAATTGGTTAGGATTGCGGAAGATTTTCTACCGCGTAACTGCGTGAAGTGTGCGCGATTCGTAAAAAAGTCACGCATTACAGTACATGTGTATGAAAGGACGCTGTTTTCGAACAAAAGATTTAGGAGGAACGACGTGTCAAGACTGCCAAAGGAATTAGTGTAATCAGGAAACAGGAGCCACGCAGTCTTGCATTTTCTTTAATCCAAAATAGATGCAAAGGAATGCACAATATGAGAAAACGGTATGCAATGTAGAGCACTCTGACTTGTATGCATACTGTTCGATATCATTAGTATGATTGGGAAGTCAGTAGTTTTTCGAGCACGATTAGCAGCATAGAGGTGCGTACCATTGGCCGATACTTCTATGCTTCCTACTTAAGCACAGGTGTACTGGCTTATTTTCACCTATATCGGAGATAGTGAGAGTCATTAAACATCGGTTGAAAATCTCTGCCGGATGTAGCTGTAATGCATCCGCACACTCTGTCAAAGCGATTGGGGAAAGGGAATCAGGGTCACTAGCCTTGTTTGGCTTCAGTCTTGTGAAGTGAACAAATAAGATGGGAGGGTTATTGATGGGGAAAGAAGGTAGAAGGAAGGTGTTTGGTAATGATGGGTTAAATTCTGCGTTACGTTTGTCTACATCCATAGTACCAGGCAGGTTAGGGGGATTTTTGCCAGTGGGTTGCTTCAAGAGCTTTCACAGGTCACAGAAAATGCGGTTTCCTAAAACGGCTTCAATGTATAGGTTATTTAACCTTTTAGTCTCGGCTTTTATAGCCACAGACAGACGTGTAACACGGACTGCTAGCTTATATTTGTAAGCCTGCTGTTTTTTCTACGCAGTTGATTAAGTAATGGAGATGAAAATCTATCAATCCGAAGATAGATGATCTCAATGGGGCAATAAAGATTGAAGCAGAAATTGTATAGTCTGTGAACTATTTGCACCGAGCTGACAGACCCTCATTGGCTAAAACTGAGAAGTCGGTTAACTGGAACATCGATTTGAGCTTTGCAATGTTTTTCGTTGTGCATTTTTGCCGCTTAGCAGTTCTGGATGGCCTTCTTATCATCGCAACATAAATGGTTTTACAGTAAATCCTTGGGCATATCTTCACGATGCCAAGCGAGACGCGTCTTTGTGTGGAAAGTATTATGTTTGTTAGTAAAAACTAAACCCAAAGGTGCGTCAAGTCTGGTGGGGAATTTTACCAAGTTGGTTAACTCAGCACTTTAATGAAGATTGTGTCACGCATATCGAAGTCACCAGCAATCATGCAGAGGGAACATCATAACTTCGGATGCAATTCCTAAACAAGGTGATCTGCGAACATTTTGATCTCTGACAAAGCTGCGTTAGACGTCACGTAAACGTTCCCAACCACAACAAACAGAAAACCACAGAGGAAGCTTGGTTTGCATTCCAACATGTGGTAAGTTATTGAAGTCGTGGAGTTAGCGGACGGCTGTGAAACCGATGTGCACCAATCTTCGATAATGTAGGTGGTCACAGCTCATCTGCGGTGCTGGGTGCTGGGGCTTTCCTGGGCGGTCGGATCTGATGCTTCGATAGCCACAGAGTTCATGCCTAGATATGCAATGTCTAGATGTAACCAACTTTCTCGTAACATTATTATACCTGCGTTCGAGTATTCTATTCGTTGCAAAAGGTTCGTGAGATCATCAGTTTTCTCGACGTTAGTGGACAGGATAAGTGGAGTTTGTGTATTCTTGGCAGGATAGCGTCTGAGTCCAGCTTGCCAACCAGCACGGTGTTTTTCTATACCCCCAATTTTTATTGATAATCGTTTTGAAAGTATTGCTGATTTTGTGGCCATATTTGACTAGAGGTGAACTTCGGACAACTTTGCGGGGCGAAATCAAACGGATAACAAAGTAAGCCAACATTACTAACTTTAATTGGTTCACTTAAACAAATGCAAAAGAAGTTGTAGAAATAGATAGGGAAAATATCCGCTGTGAGTAGCGCAGAGCAACATTCCAACAGCAACGGCCGAATTTGAAGGCGCACCTAAAAATAGAACTCATTAATTCGATGAGAAAACAATTTGCGTCAAAACTGCACAGCCCAGGCATCAAGTAGTTTCAAGAACGCTTAATTCCAACACGTACCTACCGACACATTCGTCGAGCGGAACTAAACTGTTATTTCCGACAGCTGACAGGCTATGGAACTTGAATAGCTAAGTATCCGTTAGTTTACACACTACTTATACTCTTTTCGGTAGCTGGTTATTCAATGCACAATTTTGAGGTCCAGCTTTCCGATTTTGAATGGGATTGGGAGATTGCGGGAGGAGGGGAGAACGTGATCATAACAACCGCAAGCGCACAGAAGAGGAAGATAAAACACTAGCAATAACAAGAATGAAAATGTAATAGGCTATGAGTGAAAAGAGGAGTGGCAACAATCTTGTGAGGCCCGACCGCTAAACACGAAATGCAATCCCAAATAGATGCCGACAAAAGGAAAAAGCGTCACTATACAAGTCTCTGCAGAAAGTGAGAATGATGTTAGCTGAAAAGAATGTGTTCCGGATGGGTCACGTAGCTTTGTGAGCGGTTCTCGTTACTATCAAAGGAGTTGACCGGGCATATACGTAACGCAGAACAAAACGTTAACAAGTACACCTTAGTCTTATTCACGTTCTATATTCATTTCACCTACTTCCTAATCAATTAATATCTACAATAACACGAATGTGAAATGTAGAACTTAGTATTGAATGTACAGATTGAATGTATAGTTGAATTTACAAATCACGGTTACTAGACGAAACGGCGGTGATGAATAGCTAGAGTGAAAATGTGATATATAGAATCGGATGAATGAGTAAGTAGACCAGAGATTAGGGAGGAAAAACGTAACTTAAGATAACAATATAAGAGCAAATATAGGTAGCGTATAGCCCCAAGTCCAGTACCAATAGCTGTAACATTACTGCTCAATAGTTACCAATTGTGCAAGCCGAGCTTCCTTTGTGTGAGATGATAGTAACTCTGTGCCGTGCGCACATACTAAAACCAATGAGTACCCACCCACTCCTGAATACAACGCTCTAGTTACCTAGCGGGGAAAATCCCACATGGGAGAGATGTGGATGAGGAACGACAGAAAATGCTTGAGTCACTATAAAAGCGCTCAGCCGTGAGTAAATCGAAAACATGCATCAAAGCAACCATTTGGAATGTCACATATAGCGGAATTAGCTAAGGGAAACGGGTGCACATTGCGGGAAACTCACCTCAATCGCCTCATTGTACCTCTCGTCAAAACCGGTGCGCACCAAACGGATCGTGAAAACGCAATGACTTCGGCTTGACTCTGGGTTCAATGCGGTCAAACCAACACGTCGGCGCTTTAGCCCTATGAGAGAGATTGCAGATTAGTGAAATCAGAGGGTTAGTGACAAAATCAAGGAATCAATGAGGAGAGCAATTTCGAGTCTCAGGATAAAGGATGACTTCAGCCTGGGCAACTGGGTAGTATCACGCCCACTGACGAATCATGGACCACACTGTTTAGCTCTGCTCTGGCTATACCTATCATCTTTGCTAACGTAACTGCTCAACCACCACTCACAGATCACTCCACCCCCGTCCTTCATTTATATGTACTCTTCTGTTTTCCTCGGTCACCGTCATAAACGACCCACGTCTCACAACTGATGGAAGTAACAGTCAAACTCCCGGTTTTCAATGTCCTGCGATCGCAACCGTCTCTCACTCCATCGAAGCTCCAGCTCTTCTTCAACCTGGTTCTCCATTCATCCTCGCAGCGTTTAATGTTCGAATTTTGATGCAGATCGGACGACAAGCATGTCTGGCCCGTACTCTTGAAACGCTCTCGGTAGACACCTGTTGCCTTTCAGAGACTAGATTACAAGACTCAAACGCCGTCATCAGAATGGTCTCTCCGGTAAACCCTGACGCTGGATACCACTTGTGGCTTTCCTGAGACCAAGAAGCTGCCGCCTCTGGCCAAGCTGAGGTTGGAGTTGCACTGAGTGCCAGGGCTGAATCAGTTCTGCTTGACTGGATCCCAGTCAACAGTCGGCTATGTGCAGTCAGATTACGAGGTTCATGTAATGTAAGCAGGCGTCGAGATGTTAAGCGTGCCTTGTTTGTCATCCGCCTACACCCTTACAGACTGCAGTCCGGATGCAGTCAAGGATAGGTTTTACCAGCAGCTACATGAACTTCTGCGTTCCTCCAAAAGGAATGATATAATCGGGGACTTTAACCCACAGATGGGACGCCTTCCAACAAGCGAGCACCACCTTGGGGGTAGTTTTGGCTTCGGTGGCAGTCGATCAGACAATGCAGACAGACTGCTTGCTCTGATAATCGCTTGCTTCTTTCGAGCACTAGTTTTCGGCACTCGAGGAGACACACTGCTACCTGGCGCCCGCCCTCACAAACGCAAGAGTGCTCCCAGCTTAATCACATAGTAATCAGCTACAGATGGCGCAGAAGCGTAACGGATTGCCGATCGTACTGCTCAAGTTATCTAGACTCTGATCACGCATTGGTTCGTAGTAAGATTTGCATGCGTTTCGGAGGATCACCCAAGCGCGCTCACTACCGACCGGACGTCGCAAATCTACAAAACCCTGCGATTGTAACCAGGTAACGAGCCTCACTGTCAACCTTCCTTGGCTTAACTATTGTCGGTGATCTCGATTCGCAGTGGGCACAGATCAAAGATGCCTTAGTTTCCGCCAGTATCGACACTTGTGGAGTTGCCCGTCACGCACCGAAGCATTGGATTTCCGCCGTCTCCTTGTCGTTGATAGACAAAAGCCGCTTGATCCCGTCAGATTCCAGACACAGTGAAGTATGCCAACCCCTGGGTTGAGAGTTGCGCAGAAGTCTGAAAATGCACCGCGAAGCTTGGTGGTGTGAACGTGCTAGGGAGATGGAGCTTGCTAATCTCTCTGGTAATACCAGAAAACTTTTCCATCTCATTCGAATCACCGAGTGTTCGATCTGGTATAAGTGAAACAATATGCGAAGAGGATGGCACCTTAATCACCAATCTTCAACGACGGTTGGAGCGATGGTCCGAAGATTTTGGCTCGCAGTTTTGTTGGCCCCCAGTTACATCTGCGACGTCTGGCGCTCGCACTGGGGCCGAGTGATCTAACCCCACAGATCCTCCCTCTTACCAGGAAACCGAGCAGAAGCTCCGCCAAATGAAGCTCCCGGATCTGATGGTCTTCCTTCAGTGTTATCTAAAGATGGTGGCGCTTCGCTGGTTCAAAAACTCACTGCATTGTTCTGGAAAGTTTGGTGGAAAGAGAAAGTTACATCATTTTGGGGTAAATTGATAGTGGTCCCCATTTTCAGAAAGGACCTGCGCACAATCTGCGTCAACTACAGAGGCATAAGCTTGGTCTGTTTGCAAACTGCTGGTGTTCATCATAGTTCGCAGGCTATCCCCAACGCACGAATCGTTGCATGAAAAAGCTGACGAAACAGTTGGCCTCTGCCGGTTGTTGTCGACTACCTAGTTGAGGTCCGAGAGACGCGGATATTTGCTGATTGAAGATCTTGGAAGCTATGGCTCATGATCGATGTCAGTGACGGACGTGTGCATCGGTACGCTGCGGCGTCCAACTTTCCTCCCCCTAAAAAACTGAAAAACTTTCAAAAACTGTGAATCGCAAACTGGACAAAAAGCGTACGTTGTTGTTATTTTCATATGTTATATATATATACATATATGTATATGTATATATATATATATACATATATATATATATATGTATAACGGAAAAAGGACCCAACAATCTAGTATGGGCGCTGAGATTGAAAACAATTGAAGCAAAGAGAAACTGTAGAAGTGATTGTGAGATGTTGAGGCAGCATGCAGTGCGAAAAACAGGAAGCAAGTTCGTTGGGCTGGGATAATCGTGTCCGGCCCAGGAAGTGGCTGAAATGGAATGCATGAAGCTTAGAGCCGGTAGACCTGCAACACAAAGGACATTCCACAAGAAACAAACGTCAGAAAACAGTTGCAATTTAAAGAACAAATACAAGAACCCAACTCAAAACAAAGATAGTGCAGAAATAACCAGTATGAGAGAACAAATGCTCTTCACTCAGAACACCGAGAGATGATCAAATCGTTGTTCGCTCGAGACAAGAAAAGAAGAGAAATGAGATTTCATTAGCGTAACAAGCGAATCAGTAAAAGAGGATGGTAAAAATCACAAACGGCTACGGTAGTGAATTTGCGATATGATCAGAACATAAACTAAGCTCACCTGTAGCAAAAATTCGCAGCGCGTCTTCTGTAGACTTTACTTCGATTTCTGCGCAACCAGAAACGTAGACGTTCCTCTGAGCATCTTCTCGCAAAACATGACTCGTCATTGTCCTAAAGATTGACAACATGAAGAAATACCTACTTTCCAGGCGCATCTGTGGATTCCGAAAGCAGATCGAAGACATTATTATTGTATATTTCAACGAGGGAAATGAAGACAGCATATAGAGCCTTTGGGAGCACATCTACGGTAAGCGAAGTGCACTCCCTGCCGTTCACATCGGTTAGATTGTTGCCTCTGAGAACAGAGATAAAGAGAGTTGAGAATATGATTATAGATTACCTCGGTAATTTCAATCGCTGTTGATAATCTATACGATGGCGATCCATAATGGCATCCGACTCGGATTGGATATCAAAACCATTAAGCCCGTCAGGTTTTACTACCTATAAGACCGTATTATATGTGAAGGGAAAACATGCGTATTTCTTGGTTTGTTTGTTTCCAACAGAGTTGAAAATCACATCCAAAGAAAGGGACAAAATGCCGGGTTCCTTTGAAGTACCTTGCATAACGTAAGTTTTCCCACTGCCAGTTGTCCCGTAAGTCAGTAAAAGTCCTAAGCTTCAAGATGATAGTAAAATATGGGTAAATACCGTTCTTTCCTTCCAAAAGCTCTGACACTAGGGGAAAAGCGATATTTTGAAATATCACATGCTGTGAGTCGTTTTCGCCATGAACAGCAGTGAAGGTATGTAAAGTCTGGGAAGATGCGTGATCGTGGGAGGAAATACAAACCTCTTTCAACACTCCGGCTCTTGAGCCTACTATTTTGAGTGTAGTTCCATTAACTATTTCTACACAAGATGGAGCGTCCGTATCATTTGGTTTGATACGACAAAACACTTGAACAGCTTGAACATTGGAAGCTGATCTATCGGGACGACGTCTCGGTGTTCGCATAGCTAAGAAAAATGACACAATAATTGTTGTTAATCTGGAAAGTGCGCATGAAGACAAAAAATCGGTGTTCATACAGCCATTCACAACAGACCATTGAAATCCAATGAAGATCATGTACCTTAGTAATTGACATGATCTCAAATACGAAGCTTTTCCTCGTGCTTATTTCCAGAAAATGTTTTCCAGAACAGCAGTACAGCATCAGTCAAGCTAGAGAGCGTGGCTTCACGCTGCCATAGTGTATGTAGGCGGATTTGTGAATCTTTATTGAAAGTTTTATGTGAAATACCTGTGACAAATGTCAATGTCAAGTGAGTTGGCCTCTCAGTGATGATAGCAGCCCGGTTGGGGGTACGCAGAACTAAACCAAAGAGCAGCATTTGTCCCCAGTTGTAGTTAATGACAACCAGTGGTGTCTGTGATTTAGGCCAGTTGGCTGAAGAGTCTGAACCCAAATAGGGTGCGACATTTCGCGCGCCTCTTCGGTCTACGAGTTACAATGGTTACCGCGTTTGGGAGCCTGAGAACTGTTTTCGCCGTAATGGCCAGTGGTTGGTCATTCACACTCAGTTCATTGGTCCTAAAAGTTAGCAAAATTGGAATATAGTGGTACCCATTTCCGTGAAAACCGCAGCCGTATTCCCTAACTGTCCTGCTTAACAGATCTGGATGTCCTGATAGTAACGTATTCCACACGTAGTATGGGCCTTTTCCAAGAACTTCATTCACATCCAGAATAGGCCAACCAGTAGATTCAAAAGAATTACCGTAGCTAATCCGTACAAAAAGGTGGGACAGTGAAAACAGCTGGTAGCTGATGCTTCAATTTTCTATTTCAACTACCTTTCTTACATTGTTCCCGGGCATCATTTCCAGGTTCTTTAAAAAGCCACCCAGTGTTAGGGTAACTGTAGCTCTATAGAAGGTTTGAAAATCGTATCCGTTGTGATACCACTAAACAATCCCGATGTTAATGGCTTGGAGTAGTTCTCTGGTGATGTTCAACGGTCGCACTTTAAGGCAGTTGCAGCCACAATGAACACCTGTGTTGACATGTGGTGTGCATCTAAAACTAGAATGCACGACCCCATATCCCTATCGGTATCCCGTATTCGAAGACGTGTTTGTATAGACCACGGGTCCCATTGAATTTGGCAGTTCCTAACTCAAAAACGGAAACCTAGCTAATCGGCCGGATTGAGTGGACTGCCCCCTATGTGTGGCTCAGTTGACAAAGTAAACGAATCCAGAGCAACAATAGACTACTTGTTCGTAGGTACTAACCATGCTCCGACTGACCTTAGTCCTGATACTACAAACGAAACCATTTACAGGTTAATAAGCACAATATCGTATAACGCTACCACAGGTGCAATTGTGATTGAAGCGGATACGAATGCGCAGGTAGATCTTGGGCTCACTAGGAGTTGAGTTCTCAGGTTCGAACATAAATCCGAGCGCGGAACAATGGCGAGCGTTTGTCCCAAATGTGCACCATCAGATATACTTCTGAACAGCACAACACTTAGGTAGTTGATGTGCGACGTGAACCCATCCGGTTGCGATTGGTGCAAATAGTTAACATTGTTCCCTTGTCTGTCGCTCGCCTAAGAAGGTGATTTAAGTCGGAGCGCGCCTTAGTCGCTGCAATCACATTAGCCCAAACTAAAGTCGTCAGAGGTTCAAGGCAAGACAAATAAAGCTTTATGTATCTAGATGGGTACATTCTCAGCACTTCACAATATCGACAACGGATGAGTTAAACATACAGTATCAAAAATAAATTTGTAGGAATGGGTAATAGGACACTGTGTAGAAGTGCCATTTAGATAAACGCTCAGTGTAAAAGGTTAACAAGTAAACAGTTCCGGACAAAATGACTTAAAGCCAGCTTTGCAAGCTAGACTTTCAATGGGGACCATTCACCTTCACGTATCTTGAATTTTTCTCAAAGGTTACGCGGACAGCGGCAGTGACCCTGAAAATAGCTGAACAAATATCCATGTTGAAATGTTCTGAGAACACTAATGTATCCATAGCGATATTATATAATTGATGTTCAGTGACAACGGCATGGCCGATTTAAAGGTCCCGCCGTGTCAGTCTATAAGGGTTAAGGCGAACCGAACTTGAACAAGTATGCCCGAATACTTAGACAACGCGGTGCCATTGAGTAATGCGGAAATACTAACAAAAATACGGAGCAAAACGTGCTGCTCAATAAACAATGGTGCAATCTGCTAGAAATGATCGTGCTTATGCATCGGAACGAGAGCGAGAGCATAAGCTGATGCTCCGCATATAGTTGTAACAGACGCTCGCCGTTGTTCGTCTGTTCAGAGTTAAACCCATACATAGCACCCAGCAAAGTTACTGAGGACCTTAGACGACTTATTTGCGCATTCGTATCCCCTGCAAGAATTATGATGTCCAAACTAGTACACTGCGCTGCAGCATATTCAGTTCGTGATAGAATGTCCTTGATAGCATTAGAACTGCAGTCGGTGGGAGCATAAGTGGAAATCACAAACAAACAGCGTTTTGTACTACTTCGTGAATCAACCTTAGCTGATGTCGTCAAACGGGCTGCACATAAAAGGCCGTTCACCGGAATCCAATCAACCAACGATGGCTCAGCCTTGGAGCTTAGTATGATATCTACACCAGCTTGACACGTGAGTGCTGCATCGGCGTCTCCAGATTCGTGCAACCAATAGCGAGAGCACAAGCCGGATGCAATTAATTCAACAACCCCATTAGGGTCATTGATTCTAGTTTCGGACACACAACACACAGCAATACCCAGTGTGTCCAAGTGCGTGCGAGTGCAGCCAGTTGACCTATTTGTCTTAGAGTGCGAACGTTGAACGCCGCCAGGGAAACGCGATAGCGTGGACTTATAAGGGACTCTTGCCGATAGCCGTCCGATAGGTGCTGTGGGAAGGTGACTGCAGATGGTTCTACTCCAGTGGCCCTTCGGTTGCTGTCAATTAAGCTGGGAAGTATAGAAGAAAGTTTAATAATGGGGGTCGAGATGGGAGTAAGAGAAACAGGTGGAAAAGAAGAGAGGCGCCAAAAGTAGGATGTTTACGCTTATGCGCCTTGCTGTATGTAGCAGATAAGGCGATCCTTGATAATCTACGCGATGGCCCATGCAGAATGAAGTTCATGTTTGAATAAAAAGTAATGGTTGTATATGGGAGGAGATACTGTCAGGACGCTCAGACCTAGACAGGAGGACGATTAGGGTCCTCATCCAAAGCCCTTGGCGCAAATCTGTCGCAAGGCAGCGGGGTGGCAATGATTTAGTTTTACAGAAATAGACGCCATCCCATTTCAAACCCCCAATCTGGAGGACCACGAGACAAGGTTGTCTGAGCTCACACCGTTGACCAACCTGGTAAGAGTAGCTCTCAAGGGACCGGGAGGCACCACCCAGTATAGCTCATTGGGTCAAGGAGGCACGCAAACCGTCGCACCACGTTAAGATCCAGTGTCATTGTGACGGGGTAAAGGATACAGTGAAACATGCAGAAAGCCGCACCATGGTAGGCCACATAAGTAGCTCACTAAGCGACACAACACAATAGACAAAAGCCCTGATGTTAACATGTAGCGCTGTTTAACGAAAGAGTATAGGGGGCAAGGGAACGGATAGAGATAGAGAATGGTCTGGGTAATGTGACTAAACAGATCGCATGCGAGGTTACGTGTAACCCCCCACAGACTGAGGTGGGCAGGGCTTAGCAAAGATCAATGTAAGCTGATGAGGCGTTTGCGACAAATTCTGTCTCAAGTATGATGGACGAAATCAAGTGAGTTAGCAAACCATTAGATGAGACGGGCGACAACTTGTTACACATTGCAGAGTGGCGGACGAATTTCACAGTCGCTGACCGCCCCAACAGACCTTACCATGAAAGGAAAAAGGAACTCGATTAAATGGATATATTAACAAAATAGTGCCAGACAAATGGAATGTGGTGCTACATGGACATACAAGTTCAGCTAGAAAACAAAGACCGACACTACCATGTGCTGCTAACAGTATGCACCAAAAGAGTGGTAAGAACAATACGTATGACTATAGACTAGAAAAGTTACCCTGCCACACAACATGCACGAGTAAAACGCTCAATAGCGGTTAACCCAATTCTGAAGAGGCAAGCAAGGAAAAATGCAGAAAGAGGGGAGCCTGAAAGAAACAGAATTTGAGAATACATAAGATAGAGAGGTTTTGTAATACTACAAAGCCAACTTTACGCACTAAGAATGAGCTGATGCGAAGAGCCACATACGCATGTAAGAGATGATGCAACTAATTTCAACGAACGAGGAAGTAATCGACAAAGATGGTACTTTAGTGTAAGAAAGTCTCCGGAATATAAAGAATGGTACAAATTTGAAAAAAGTATAACACAGAGAATGGCTTGATTGATAGCGAGTTTGTGATGCGCAACGTTCCGAGTGAGAGCTGGATTAGATCCAGTGGCTGTAAAGGAAGAGGGAACGTGATTAGCGGACAAGTACACCATCGTAGACGAGAAGAGGGATAAAGCAAGTTAAGTGACTGAGGTGTAATGGTACAGGATAATATTGAGTCCAAGCTTTACACACCCACACTTGGCTGTCAATGGTTCTCGTGTCTGGTAGCAAGTTCGATGGCCCAGGGAATTTGTCTTGGCCTCCACAGTGGCACACCTGGGTTTTGGGAAGCTTCGAGTATTTGTTTCTACTTGAGAATCGTATTATGCGTGCTTCACTAGTCCGTTCCTAACGGCTATCGACATACATTAATAGCCAAGATGCCTTGCGGGTCAGGTCTTTATGCCCAAATCTCCAGCTAAGATCCTTTAAGCCGAACCCTCTTCCTCGGCCTGGGTAACTGGGAAGCACCATTCCAACACAAAACATGGACCAATGTTTCAAAGATTGTTCGACCTAGCAGACTTTAAGGTTCAATAAGGACCGGAGCTATGGGAGATCCCCGTGACTATTCC